CCTGCCCCCACCACCGGCAATGTCTTTGCGAACTATGTGCTGGTCGGGGCGACCAGCCCGACAACCTATACGGGTACAAGCGGAACACTCAATTCCGCAACCCTGCAGGTCAATTTTGACCCCACACAAATTGGCGGCCGCCTGCTGAAGTTCAATGCGTCAACGACTTTTGGCACCATCACCCAGAATTTCGTTTATTTCTCCAGCTCAAGCGCCACCAGCCCGGACGGCAAGCTTTTGGTGTTGTTCACGGGTGCCAATGCGGTCAACGCAGGTGTGCTTTACAACGGAAGCATCACCCAGGGCAATGGCGCGGTTGGCGGCACGTTTACCGGCATCGCGATTTTCAGGGCTCCCTGAGGCGTTCCGGCTAGAGGTAAAACGCCAGGTCCCGCTCTATGGCAGGGCTGCCATGAAGCGACAAGGCCCGCAGCATTGCGGCGCGGCCCAGATCAGTTCGAAGTTCGGAAGAAGTGCAAAGGCGCATCAGTGTGTCCCAGGCCTGTTCCTGCGTGTGAACCAGAAAGCCTGAGACACCGTCTTCCACCGCCTCGGCGTAGCCTCCGCGCGAATGGGCCACCACGGGCAGCCCACTGGCCATAGCCTCCAATACCACGCGTCCATAGGCCTCAACGGAAGCACCCGTACGGTAAAAGAAGATGTCAAGAGATCGGTAAAAGTCAGCCGCTGGCATATCGCCTGCGGGCATCAGCTCGATGCCTTCCACGCCAGACAGGATCGATGCCAGGCACATGCCGCCCATGATCCTGATGCGCACACCCTGGCTTGCAAGCATGCGGTAAAGGGCCGGGTCCTCCGGGTGATGTTTGTCGGGGGCATCGCGGCTGATGCGCCCCACCACCAGAGGGCTTCTGCCCTCCCCTGAACCAGAGCTACTGCGAGTCCCATTCAGCGCAAGGCGTTCTTCGGCCACCCGGGTAAAGCGAGCGACATCCATCAGGCTCCTGATGACCTGCCCGGGCAAGCCGACGCTTTTTTGCAGCATGTGCGAGACGAACACCAGCTCCGGTTCTAGCCCGGTGGCATGGCGGATGTCCTCAACCACTGCAAACAGCTGCCCATGATTGGCAAGGTTGTAAAAAAGAATGATGCGCTCAAACTTTGTGTATTTGAGCCAGACGCCAGCCTGCATGTGCACCCCGGCAATCAGCAGCACACCGCTTGCCGGGTATTGGCGCGCAAAAGGCTGGATGCTGCTGATGGCGTCACCAGCGTAAGCGCTGCTGACGGGCCGATCCGACCAGATTTTCACGGGCCTGCGCGCGCCCACAAGCTGACGGATCTCCAGCAGTTCACGTTCAGCGCCGGTAAAAAGCTCCGTGAAATGGCCGAGAAGGTGAAGTGTTGACGGTGCAGTGACGTCCATAACCGGATCATAGTCATGCAAGGACATTCGGCCCGAACGCTGCAACATAATTCAGACATGGAATATCTGCGGATCCCGGACAGCATTGCCAGCCATGACGCCTTGATGCAGCGCGGCAGCGAGCTGCATGCACAGGGAAAAATCGAATACGCGCTGCTTGCGTTTGAAGAAGCCCTTGCCCTGCAGCCGGACAACGTGAATACGGCTTCAGCGTGTGCCGCCATGCTGTCCGCGCTGGCCAGGCCCGTTGCCGCATACAAGGTCATGCAGACACTTGAAACGGTGTTGATGCAGAGCGCAGATGGCGCAGCCAACCTTGCCATCACCGCCCAGGCCAGTGGAGATATCGACAATGCCCGCCTGGCCTATGCCCGGGCGCTTGAACTTGACGCGAATCACCTGCGCAGCCTCAACAACACGGGCCTGATGGCTGCCGCCGGTCTCGATTGGGCCACCGCAGTCAGTTGTGCCGCACGATGCGTCGCGTTGGCCCCCCACCAGGCCGACTACCGCGCCCACCTGTGCGACGCACTGTGTGGCGCGCGCAGCCTGCCAGAGGCGCTTGAGGCCGTCCTTGAAGCGAGGGCGCTTTTCCCCGATGACAGGGCCTTGCACACACGGCAAATCATCATCCTCGCGTTCAACGGCGAGCTTGGGCAGGCGGATCGGGCCATCTCGGGCCTTGACGCTGAAGGCATCGCCCACCTGCGCGGATTTTTATCCAGTTGGCCACGCATGTCGGCTACGCTATCGCAAGACAAACTGCCCGATGCCCTGCAGCTTTGCGCGGCGCAGGTATTTGAAGCCGCAACGGTATGCGACTGGCGCAGCCAGGGCAAACTGGTAACGCTGTTGCGGCAGCGGTTGGCAGAAGATGCACGCCAAGGTATCGGCCGCGACTGGCAGGATGTCGGCTTCTACGGCGACATGCTGGGCCTGACGGAAGCCGAGGTTGAAACCATTGAGGTGACTACGGCAAAGGCATCCGAAGCAGCCCGGCAGAAAAAACTCCGGCCCTATGCCCGTCACCTGCGCAACACGGCAGTCGGCGCAGAAAACGACGGCCGAATCCATGTCGGTTTGGCCCTGCCGGACCTGCGTGACCACCACGTCTGCGATGGCCTGATTCGCCAGCTCGGCATACATGATGCATCACGGTTCGCTTTTCACATCTATGCATCCACCAAAGCGCCTGAGCCGCACTGGGCAGATGCACTTAGATCCCATGCTGCGGGCGTGGTGGAACTGGCCCATATGAGTGACCCCGAGGCCGCAGGCCGCATACGACTGG